ACCTTTTCCCAAGATGGCTGCTCAGGATTTCAGTCAGCAAATCAAAAAATTGAAAAGGGCGGTAGGAGTCCTACATGAGGACAAAAAGGGACTCTTGCAAACATGTACGGCGCAACCTAACAAATGTTTCTAAACGGGAGCAAACGATGCCTGTCCCACAGACAAAATTTGTAGTGTGTCTTCAAAAATATCTGCAGAGAGTTGGAGTTTAATGTCTTGGGCCTCTTATGCACAACTTTTTGTTTAACAGTGAAAGTTGTAAGATGCTTGGATCAGGAACTATATGGTACATGTTATCTGGCTTCTGTATCCTCTTCACAGCTGGTTAACAAAATCTTGGCCAAGTACATCAATGTGTGTCAGATCCCTAAGTACAAGAATGCGCGCCCTTCACGCCCTTCAGGACATCCCAGGAGCCCCAAAAGATAATAGCAGTCTGTCCAGAATATTTGACCATAGTGACAGAGTCGCTGGTGAAACCTTGGAGACCCTTACCAAAAAACGTGTATTAAGCCGTCTCCAGATTTTGGAAATTCTTTCACAGGTGTGCAATATTTTGATTGGCATTCACTCTCATGGCGGGACTCACTTCGACATCAAAGCAAAATAATATTTGCAAAAAGGGCGCACACCTGAGGGGCTCCGTGAAAACCATCACGACTATGGACTTGTTTGTTCCTCTCGGCATAAAGTTAACTTCCCCGACGGTGCCAAGGCCCACCACATTGCACCTGAGGTCCTCAGGAGCCAAACTGCAACCAGCTCAAGCTGACTACTTCAGCAATGCCCCGCCTGAATTACCTATTTTGGACATCTTGTGTGACGTTGACCTGCAAGTCTGGGTCCAGCAAGCATTGTTCATGGATGTGAACCAGAGACCTAACCTTAAAGTACTCCAAGAGTTACTGCGTACTGCTCTTAACAAACATTGAAATTTACAGTTGCCCATCATTCTGTTTATAAAGGAACTGTTATCAGGAATAAGACATGAGCTGCTAATTTTTGTTAAAAAAAAAAAAAAAAAAAAAAAAAAAAAAGAGAGAAGATTAGTAAAGGAGGTGTAATTATGTAGGTGTGAAAAACCCGGGTTTATTAAATGTCTGGATAAACCTTATAGCACAGTAGTACAGCTGAGAGACTAGTGACAGTAGTACAGACAAGATAGTGACAGTTAGTTACATTTAAGTATATACTCTACACAGACATTATCATTATCTTCTTACTGTCCTTTACTTGTATATACTAAGTAAATTACTACTTAGTACTTTCAGTGTTACAGTCTAGCATAACTACATTTAAGAAATACTCTATACAGACTTGATCAGCATCTTCTCCACCGTCTTAAAATTGTATATACTAAGTAAATTACTACTTGTACTTTCAGTGTTACAGTCTAGCTTAACATATTTAAGTATATACTACTCTATACAGACTTGATCAAGCATCTTCTCCCCCGTCTTAATTTGTATATAATAAGTAAATTTCTACTTAGTACTTTCACTGCTACAATCCAGCTTAACTATATTTAAGTAAATACGCTACACAGACTTGATCAGCATCTTCACATCGTCTTGTGTAAAAGAAGTAATTCATTACTTTGTTCTTCTTTTTTGTTGGTATCAGTTTATCTGATCGTCGTTAACTCAAGATGGGCTGCTACAGATTTTCAGTCAGCAGAATCAGAAAAATTTTTGAAAAGAGTGCGTAGGAGTCCGTACATGAGGACCAGAAGGACTCTTGCAAACGTGTACGGCTGCAACCTGAACATAATGTTCTTAAACGGGACAAACGATGGCCTGTTCCTACGACAAAATTTGTAGTGTCTGCAAGATATCTGCAGAGATTTGGAGTATAATTGCTTGGGCCTCTTATGCACAACTTTTTGTTTAACAGTGAAATTTGTAAGATAGCTTGGATCAGAACTTATGGACATGTTTATCCCGTATAAATTACTAAATTTAAAAAGAGAACTTTTGTTTTCCTTTTTTTGAGCCACCCTGCCTGGTGGGATAAACGGCATTTTTGTTGAGAGAAAAAAATAAAATATACAGTGGAACCCTCGAGCCAGCGATGGCATCCGTCTAACGTTAAAAATCCGACCAGCAATACATTTTAATGCAAAAATTTGCCTTCGAATAGTGCAAAAAACTCGACCAACATATTCGTTCCATCTGAGACGCGTTCACTTGTGGCCCAGTGGTTACAAGGCCAGCCAGCCAGCCACCGCAGTCCATCGAAACATACAATTGGAACATTTCATATTTATCACAGCGTTTTAGTGATTGCACCTGCAACAATATCACCATGGGCTCCAAGAAAGCTCTAAGAGCCAACTCTACAGCAAAAAGTGAGAATTACTATGACATGAAGAAAGAGATCACTGCTAAATATGAAAAGTGGAGGTGTCGTGTCCCTCCGAGCTGGCCAGGCTTCACACAAAACCCCCAATCAACCAACGCTAACTAATTGTGGCCCAAGAAAACGGCAATCAAGGAAGCTGTTTCTTGCCAAAGGGTGCAATCATGTTTTCGAAACTAGATCACAAGTGGATAGAAATGTTGAAGACTGTTACTGGTGTGGAGAAGTGAAAAACATATAGCAGGAGAAGCACTCCTCAAGCGTCATATGTGAAAAGGCTTAGGAAGTGCATGAGGATTTAATTAGAAAAATGCCACAACTATAGTGATCGAGAGTGAAATTTAAGTCCAGCAAAGGTTGGTTTGAGAGATTTAAGAATCGTAGTGGGCATACATAGTGTGAAAAGGCATGGTGAGGCTGCCAGTTTGGGACCAAAAAGCAGCTGAAAAACATGTGCATGAATTCAAGGAGTACATACAGTGAAGGACTGGAAAACCTGAACAAGTGTTTAATTGTGACACTGACAATGTTTGAAACACTTTAGGAATGTCCCAAAGGAACGGGAAGGTACAGCCTCTGTAGACAGATAATGTTGTGGCGAACAGAGGTCCAGTGACTCTCAAGCTGGTCCTAGTGCATTAAAAGATGACGAAAGTAAACCCCAGAAAAGGACTTGACACCTCAAGTCCTAATGGAATGGTTTTCCCTTCTAAACAATAACGCCATCCACAGTCTCTCCCCTCCTCCCATCCCATCAATCATCACCAAGATCTTCAATAAAGGTAAGGTTAAGTAATTGTACATTTCTCTCAGTTTGTGTGTATTAAAAATTAATAGTTCAATGTGTAAAAAAAAATTTTTTCAATACTTTTGGGTGTCTTGCACAGTATTAATTTGATTTCCCTTATTCTTCTGGGGAAAATTACTTGACTAATGATAATTCGATTAACGATGCGCCTCAGGTTACGGAATAATATCATTGTCGAGGGTCCACTGTACCTGAATTGAGCTCAAAGGAGCGGAAATGTTTGATTTTTTGTCGATGTTCAAAGAACTTTGTGAAGTCAAGTATGGTTAATTTATTAAGTGAATTCACTCACCAAATACCACTTAGTAATCCGGCAAACTCAGAAACCTGGCACACAACAGGTCACTCATTGATGCCGTGATTTGTGATGGAGAACGTATTAACACCCCTCTGGGTTTTTCTTCTAATTTTCTACTAGTTCTGTTTCTTGTTTATTCCCATTTATTTCTATTGGGTAAGTGGAACAGAATTTCTTCCGCCATAAGCCAATGCGTGTCGTAAGGGGCGACTAAAATGCAGGGAGTAAGAAGCCAGTAACCTCTTCTCCTGTACACTTTATTAAAGTTGTGAAGAGAAACTCTTGTGGAATACAGCTGGTTTGTTAAAAAAATATACACAAGGATCTCTGGAATTAATATCATTTTCTATATAATAAACACGTATAAGAAGTGAAATAGTGTACATTTTATTATTAATCTCCAAAAAGATATATTGTTAATATTCTATATGGGACAAAATGTGTTCTACTAAGTCCATATAAAAAAAATGTCGTGAAAGGAGGAGGAAGCAGGAATACCCATGATAGCCACACAATCAGCCACACCTGCAGTCTGTGTGCCTAGACCGTCACACACCAGTCACACCGCCTGCTGTGTACCTAGACCATCACACACCAGCCATACACGCTGCTGCTGTGTACCTAGAACCATCACACACCAGCCACACCTGCTGCTGTGTACCTAGCCCAACAACAACCCCAGCCACCCTGCTGCTGTGTACCTAGACATCACACACCATCCACACCTGCTGCTGTGTAACCTAGATCACACACCACCATCCCATACCTGCTGCAGTGTACCTAGACCATCACACACCAGCCACAACCTCTGCTGGTACACCTAGACCATAATGGTATTTAATATCAGTAATTGGCAACAATGGTCTGCTTGATGGCTTGAGGTGAGGTCCACCGTCAGAGCATACTGCAGCCCTCCAGCCTTGTCGTTGGTGCCCTGAAAAAGAAATAAACATGATCAACTTACTTCCATATTGTCTATTCATTTGTTTTTCTCCTACATTAGGTTCACTCTTCATATGCATCATTTGATGTAAAAACATCTACAAAAATAATGGAATGGAGACAAAATAAAATTTACTGTAATGCAAATATTATTTAAGAAAAAAAAGCTGTAGTTCAGAGGTATTAATACGTTGGAACATACATTATACAGAGGTCTTCTCAGTCCTAGAATACTCCTATGGTACTGAGCAGTAAAAAATTTAACAAAATCACCATATTTGAATAAATTACTATAACAATTAAAAGTTACCAAATTTGCACATTATTAATGAGAAAGAATCAACTTTTTAGATGTATATTCACAAAGAAAAACTCTCCTTGCACAGAGACAATACACCAAAAAAAAAACCTTTAACAACCATTAGACACTACACTGCACAGAAGCTTTTAGTGAGCCAATACGTTTAAAAAAAGTACTTCAGTAGATAAGAAACTGCCAGAATGAACTACGTTTATCAACATATTCTAACACTGGGTACAAACCCACAAATGTTGCTAACACACTACATCATTAACCCGTAAATGGTCGCAAAACATAAAAATAGCTTTTTTACTGCTAGTGCCCCCATGGTGTAATATATGTTTTAATTTTTTTCCTGCCTTCAAATTTTGGCACGATTGGCCGATATACTTGCAGCATAGAATGTGTCCAACACTCAGTGAAATAATATTAAAAAAAAATCTGGACCACTTATACCTTGTGGGGAGCACCAGTTCCAAATGAGTGCCAGCTATAGCAAATAGTGCAGCAAACACCTGGGATTCCACTGATGTCATGTAGTAATTAACACTCCCATTTTTTAAGAAATGAAAGTGATTTTGACCCTGAGATTAGTGGCTTGAGGTGTATGTGGCCGTAAGTGCAGGAAGTATCAAAAAACCTCGATAATTACCATGTGCAATATTTGTGCTACACCCTTTCCAAGAAAGTCTTATAACCTATGCCCTAAGTAAAGAGAAACATTCTGGTGTTTGGCAGACCTGACTATTGGCTGGCTAGCTGGCTGGCCAGTTGCAATGTGTCCACTGTGTGGGTGGCCGCTGCTGCTGCTGCTGCAATCTGCTGCCTGGCTGCTGCTGCTGCTCCTGCTCCTCCTGCTCCAGCAGCACCTGCACCTGCAGCTGCTGTCGCTCCTGCTGCTGCTCCTGCTGCTGCTGCTTGGCTGCTTCCTCAGCTGCTGCTGCAAGCTGCTGCTGCTGCAGCTGCTCCACCTGCTTCCTGCTCTCTCCTGCTGCAATGCTGCTCCTGCTGCTGCTGCTGCTTTCTCCTCCTCCTCCTGCGGCTGCTGCTGCAGCTGCTGCTGCTGCTGCTGCTGCTGCTGCTTGCTTGCTGTGATCTGGCTGTCCTGCTGCTCCTGCTTCTCCTCCTGCTGCTGCTGCTGCTGCTCCTCCTGCTGCTGCTGCTGCGGCGTGGCCGGCTGCTGTGTGCTGCTGCTGCTCCTCTCCTTCCTCCTGCTGCCTGCTGCCTGCTCCTCTCCTCCTGCTGGCTGTCTGCTGCTCCTGCTGCCTGCTGCAGCTGCTGCTGCAGCTTCTCCCACCTCCTCTTCCCGCTCCTCCTGCTGCTCCTCCTCCTCCTCCTCCGTGCTGCTGCCTGGCTCTCCCCCCCCTCCTCCACTTCCTCCTGGCTGCTGCTCTCCTCCTCCTCCTCGCCTACCTCCTGATCCTCCTCCTCCTCCTCCTCCTCCTCCCTGCTTGCTGGCTGCTGGCTGCTGCTGCTGCAGCTCCTCCTCCTCCTCCTCCTCCCTCCTCCTCCTCCTCCTCCTGCTCCTGGCTGCTCCTGCTGATCATCCTCCTCCTCCTCCTCCTCCTCCTCCTCCAGCGCTGCTTTGCTGGGGATCCAAACGTTATGCGGGGGTCCACTTTTGGGGTTTTTTGTCAGTTTTAAGCGAATTTTAAAGGGCCCTGCCCATCCCAAGTCGTTTTTTTAAATTTCAGCTCCCTTTCACAAGGGTTTTTTGGGAGGGTGGCAAGGTTTAGGGTGAGAGATGACATAAGTCGTTTTCATCAGAAAAGGAGAAGGGGTTTTCCCAGGTGTTGGGATACTTTTGGAAAGGGTCATTGATGTAAAAAGGGGGGGAAAGAGCGGGGGGACCAAGGACCCTTCCCTGCAGAACTCCAGTTAAAGTGGCCGTGTTGCTGATCTGTGTCTTTAATGGTAAAGTACTGTTCCCAAATTTTTTTAATGTAAGATTTAAAATAAGAAAGCGAGGGCCTCTTATACCGTGGGTGATCAAGTTTGGGAGTTAGGATGTCGTGGTTTACTGTGCCCAAAAGTTTTTCTTAGGTAAAATAAAAATTCCTGTGGATATTCCTTATTTTCCAATGCTGTGTAAAGCAATCTACCCATTTTTATGATTGCATCATTAGTGCTTTTATTTTTCCGGGAACCCCAAAACTGGCAGGGGTTGAGTATGTTTTGACCCGTTTAAAAAAAATACGTCCCCTGTCCCGGGAGTTTCTCAAAGATTTTGGATAGCAATGGTAAGTTAGAATTGGCCATATTTGGGTTTAAGTCTGTGGGGTCACCACCTTTTGAATTGGTGTAACCCTTCCCATCTTGAGTATTTCGGGAAGGTGCTAGTCTCTTTTGATTTTGTTAAAAAGTAATAAAATGCATGAAAAAGGGGACAGGGGCCCGCTCGCTTTTTCAGAAATTGGGGGGACATGGGGACAGTTTCCCCCAATTTATTTTTAAGTGACTTTATGATCTAAATGACTTCTGTGGGCTCGGGTTGGTGCAAGATAAAAGGGTTTTTGGGGGAAAATTTTCCATCTAGGTAGCCCCCGGGCCCTGGGAATTGGAAATGTGGGATTTTACTGGCGGGATTAGATCCTAGGGTTTGAGAAAGAAGTTTTTATCTTTTAGTGTGTCAGTGGGAATGTAGGGGGGGTTTCATTGGGTTTTTGGGTTAGGACAATATTTTTGGGTTTTTCTCAGTTTTTGGGCCCCCCCCAGAATATGAGAGATTTGGTTTTTCCGGGTTTTTTTTTTTATCCCCTTAGTGTCTGTGAATCTACTGGGGGTAGTATAGTTGTTTTGGCTTTTTTTTTTATTTGGTGAAGTTTGGATAAATTAGTTTTAAAGGGGGGAGTATCTTTGTGTATTAAGCCCGGTCATTTTGTTTTTTCATATTGGTGTTTCTTGTAAAATGGATTTCGGGAAATGGTGGGGTTTAGCCAGGGGCAACCAACGTTTGTTTGGATCTTTTTTGGGTTTTTATAGGAAAATGTTTGTTTTTAATAGCCCAAAATTTAATTTTTTAAGAAAAATGTCTTTTCCATTTCATCAATACCATTGGCCTTGGAAAATTTCTGTGGGCCAATAAAAGTTCTAGGTCGGGGGCTGTCCCAAAATTTAGATTCCACAATTTGGCATAGGCTCCTCGGGGTTTAAACCCCAAAGCCCCTTTCCCCAAACCCCTCTTTTCTACACATTCTGGCCAAATTTCCCCCCAAGCAGAGTTAAAGGGCCCTTTTTGTCACTCCCCCCCAAGCCTTACCTATAAGGTTTATGCAACTGAGGATACAAAAAGGTTTTTCCAAAACTCTCTTAGGTCAATAAAAGTGTCTGGGGCCCATTTAAAAGCACTTTTGAAAATTTTTTTTTAAATTTTTTTAAATTTTAAAACCCGGGGGGGCTGGCGGTGAGGAGCGGTATTAGAAGGCAAAAAAATTTTTTTAAACCCCAACTCCCCTAAAATTTTTTTCCCCCCCAAAAAAAAAGGGGGGTTTTTTCCCGGGGGGCCCAACCCCCCCTTTTTTAAAAAAATTTGCTTTTAAAAAAAATTTTTTTTTTAAGGAAAAAATTTTTTCCCCAAAAAAACCGGAAAAAAAGGGGGAAAAAAGGGGGGAAAGGGGGGAAAAAGGGGGGGTTTTAAAATTTGGGGGGGCCCCCAAAAAAAAGGGGGGGGTTTTTTTTTTTTTTGGGGGGAAAAATTTCCCGGGGTTTTTTTTTCCCTTTTTTTTTTTCCCAGGGGGTTTTTCCCTTTTTTAAAAAGGGGGGGGAAAAAAAAAAAAAGGGGGGGGAAAGGGGGGGAAAAAAGGGGGGGGGGGGGGGGGGGAAAAAGGGGGGGGGGAAAAAAGGGGGGGGAGGGGAAAAAAAGGGGGGGGGGGAAAGGGGGGAAAAGGGGGGGGGAAAAAAAGGGGGAAGGGGGGAAAAGGGGGGGAAAGGGGGGGGGGGGGGGGGGGGGGGGGGGAAAAAGGGGGGGAAGGGGGGGGGGGGGGAAAAAAAGGGGGGGGGAGGAAAGGGGGGGAGGGGGGGGTAAGGGGGGAGGGGGGGGGAGGAGGAGGGGGGGGGAGGAGGGGGGGGGGGGGGGGGGGAGGAGGAGGAGGGAAAGGGGGGGGGGGGGGGGGGGGAGGGGAGGGGGGGGGAGGAAAGGGGGAGGGGAAAAGGGGGGGAAGGGGAGGAGGAGGAAAAAGGGGGAGGAGGGGAAAAAGGAAAAAGGAAAGGGGGGGAAAAAAGGGGGAAGGGAAAAAGGGGGGGAGAAGGAGGAAGGGAAAAAAAGGGGGGGAAGGGGGGGGAAAAAAGGGGGGGGGGGAGGAAAGGGGGGGAAAAAAGGGGGGGAAGGGGGAGGAGGGGGGTTTTAAAGGGGTGGGGGGGTTTTTGGGGGGGGGGGGGGGGGGGGGGGGGGGGGGGGGGGGGGGGGGGGGGGCCCCCCCCCCTTTTTGGGGGGGGGGGGGGGGGGGGGGGGGGGGGGGGGGGGGGGGGGGGGGGGGGGAAAAAAAAATTAAATTAAAAATTAAAAAAAAAAAAAAAAAAAAAAAAATATTTTGGGGGGGAAAAAAAAAAAAAAATGGGGGGGGTTTTTTTTTTTTTTTTTTTTTTAAAAAAATATATATATATTTTTTAAAAAAAAAAAAGGGGGAAAAAAAATTTTTTTTCCCCCCCCCTTTTTTTGGGGGAAAAAATAAATTAAAATAAATTTTTTTTTT